AAAAATACATTCAGTATAATTTTATAAATTTAAAAGGAATGCAAAACTTAATATATTGTTTACAGATTAAAAACAAAAGTGGCAAAATTATAAGGCCCACAGGGGGCTTAGAAGCAATATGAAATTATGACTTTACTGGGACCTAGGCACTTTTTGCCTTCACGGTACTTTCCTCATTAAAAATATCACAAAGCACATTTTATGGCCAGATTGTTATAAACACAAATATATTGTTAAATATTAAAAGATTTTCCAACCTAAAATTTCACTTTTTTTCTAATTTTATAGGAAGTTAAAATAATTTCATGTGTCTCTGGCCCGAGCTACCGTGTCTAATAAAGCCTTTCTATTCAGCATTCACGGTAATACTGTTTTTTCCAGTGGCGAGCACCATGGCATTTTATAGTATTGTTTCCTATGTACTTTAATAACGTTATGTAATAAAGTCTGCATGGATATGCATCAAAATGATTGTCTCAGGGAAATAGAAATTCAGGTGATTTTTTTTGCCTCCTTGTCATGTGTTGTATTTTTTTAGGTTTATTTTTCATAAACATCCACGTCTGCATTTTTTAAAGTATTACATAAAAAGGTTACTTAAAAAGTGATGCATATACAATTTATAATGCAGTATAGTTTTGTAACTCCCTTATTTGAACACCAGCTGAATATGGCCAAACTACTTCACAGCGTAGAAAAATCTACAAGTGAAGAGAATGGTTTCCCCTGGCGCTCTCACGTCAAACGCCAAACTGGCAAATTAGCATAACGGTCCTGGGGGGAGGGGTTTCCCATAAACCACGCCCCCTTACTGGAACCTTCGTTCGGAAAAGATCTCGCGTTATTGGCTCGGTTCTTCTCATTCTTCGGTTGAGGTTCGCTTTGAGAAGACCGTTGCTGACTGACGTGCAGGATCGGGCCTTCCTCGCTGACTGACGTGCAGGATCGGACGGTCCTCAGTGTCCTCTTTCGTTTGCAGCCTTGATCAGCATTAGTAATTATTTGGTTTTTCTGTCTTCTCTATTAGAGTAAAAACTAGTGGCGGTTCTTCAGCATCAAAGTCAGTAGTAGGTGTTAAAAAAATGGGGAGGCTTTCCAGTGGGGTTTTACTGTGCTGTTTGTCTTTACCATATTTTAATGTATACCTCTTCTGAAATACAAAGTATGTGTATTCCCCCAGTTTCAATACTTAATATATCCTGTGTCTTTAGTACAAAATATATATGTTCCTCCAATTACATGTTGATTACGTATTAGGTTTTTAAAGGAAAAAAAAAAATACTGCCGCAGTCCTGTATCATTCTCCTGAAACATCCTAGGCGGGGAAAACGGTAAAGGACAGAGCAAAAAGGCAGGCTACTAAAACAAACCGGGAACAGGCAAGTCGGGGTGTGTCCCCTTAAAAGTGAGTTCTGGGCTGGGCCGCGTTGGCGCTTTGGCGGTAAACTCTGTCCCCACCTCGTGGGCGCTCCTGATTGGCCGACGTATTAGCCCGGAAGTAGCGCAAGCGATAGGCGTCTGGGGGGAGGGGTTTCCCATAAGCCACGCCCCCTTACTGGAACCTTCGTTCGGAAAAGATCTCGCGTTATTGGCTCGGTTCTTCTCATTCTTCGGTTGAGGTTCGCTTTGAGAAGACCGTTGCTGACTGACGTGCAGGATCGGGCCTTCCTCGCTGACTGACGTGCAGGATCGGACGGTCCTCAGTGTCCTCTTTCGTTTGCAGCCTTGATCAGCATTAGTAATTATTTGGTTTTTCTGTCTTCTCTATTAGAGTAAAAACTAGTGGCGGTTCTTCAGCATCAAAGTCAGTAGTAGGTGTTAAAAAAATGGGGAGGCTTTCCAGTGGGGTTTTACTGTGCTGTTTGTCTTTACCATATTTTAATGTATACCTCTTCTGAAATACAAAGTATGTGTATTCCCCCAGTTTCAATACTTAATATATCCTGTGTCTTTAGTACAAAATACATATGTTCCTCCAGTTGTTGATTACGTATTAGGTCTTTAAAGGAAAAAAAAATACTGCCGCAGTCCTGTAACATTCTCCTGAAACATCCTAGGCGGGGAAAACAGGAAAGGACAGAGCAAAAAGGCAGGCTACTAAAACAAACGGGGAACAGGCAAGTCGGGGTGTGTCCCCTTAAAAGTGAGTTCTGGGCTGGGCCGCGTTGGCGCTTTGGCGGTAAACTCTGTCCCCACCTCGTGGGCGCTCCTGATTGGCCGACGTGTCAGCCCGGAAGTAGCGCAAGCGATAGGCGTCTGGGCCTCCTGGTGTAGTTCTAGAACCTCTTTCCATGCCCCGCCCCTGGCTCGCCAAAACTGTTGCTGCACAGGTGGGGCCTGAGGGCAGGACTTGGACACGCGGGGGCGGGGCCTTGACTGGGGAGTCAGTGGGTTGGGCCAACGGTGAGGACTCCGTCGAGCGGAGGCGCTGAGGCGGGCTGGCGGCTGACGCGAGGCCTGACTGGGTAGGAGAGCGGCGGGTCGAGGTGGGACAGAT